AAAAAAAAAAAAAAAAAAAAAAAGTTGAAAAAAACTTTAGAGAAAACGGGCGGTAATGAAATTGAAAAATTAAACAAAAATACAAGTTTTTTTAAAATAATTAAAACTTCAATTGTCACATCTGTTTCTGCATGTTCCTGAATAAATCGTATCCTTACCCTCAGCCCTGAAAGCTCAAACTTCGTTAGTTTCTTGCTTCCTTTTGATTTCTCCAACATTTCTTCATTAATGGACCAATCAGGAGATTTTCTGTCGTGAGAAATTGACCTGCCTTCTTGCTTAATAGTCAACTCTACATCTTTGCCATTTTTATTCTTTTTACTACTGACACTGGGATACTTTCGAATGTCTACGTTTGGATTAGTTACTCGAGGAGCATGTGGATGAGATAACTTGACATATGACTGCAACAGTTTAGTGTCAACCGCTTCTCCTTTGTAACTTGAAATCACACTTGCATTATTTGCAGGTTTGGCATTTATTGTAATGTTCTCTTTTTTTGGCAAGAATTCATTTGGACTGATAGGCTGTCCATCTTCATCACACACTAAATGGTTCTTACCGATTACGCAGTGGACATAGCGCTGGAGCACATACCATAACATCTCTATATAGAATGGATACCGAAACTTCATTGGTACCTGGAAATAGCAGTTAAAATATATCAAAAGTACATACCACATAAGCAATATCAACAGATTAACCCTTATACAATTATCAACCACACAATGACTGTCCACTTATTTTAATGTGAAGTCAATCTCATCATTGCACTTAGAAACTAAGTAACCTTAAAAAAATTGAATGATAACTACACAATGATTTTAGGACTATCTTGGGAACGTGCAGAATCAGAGATGGCTAAGCTTTCGTGGGGAAAATGTTAATAAGGTGTATGTATATATATATATAAATACACAGTAATAGAAATAATTATGAGAATGGAGAGGAATAAATCGTATAAACGGGAAATACTATATGGATGCCACCTCTTTAGTGTATGTAAATGAATTGCACCAGATTATATTGATGTGATGATAGCTTACATTGTGACTGGCTGTCATCCAACCAAACAGAAAGTATCACACCAGTACAAAGCCTATAGAGGTGCAGGAAACCATGCCTAGTACTAGTAGTGTGAATCCAGTGTAGTAGTGTAATGTCCAGAACTGGAATACTACATGACAAAGTACGAAGAAATTAAGTTTTAACTGATCAAGGATAGTCCAGGTGGAGCTATATACAAGGCTCTGAAGAGGATACGTGTAACTGGCACCATTAATAATAAAGTGGTCAAGGTAACCGAAAACCGACATTAGGTATCTTGGGGTATGTTTATGTATTTCTCAAAACAATAGTCAAGTACAGACCTTGCCAATGTAAGTACAGGTGTGAATGTTATATGAAGAACAGTAAGATTTTCATTAGCATGAAGTGGTCCCAATGGGTAGCTATGCAAAAACTGCTCCTGAGAATAGATAACCAAACCAAATGTTGAAATGGGCATTAGAAAAGAAATAGTAACATGAGCAAAACTGAAGATGTTTGATCTTTACAGATAAATCAGGTTTTGACTTATTTGGCAACAGTCAATAATAGTTTATTCAAAGGAAGAGAGGAAAATGGTATCATAGTTAAGGAATAAAATCTACAATGGAATGGATCAGTTCAAATTTGGGGCTCCATCTCAGCCAACAATATTAACCATTCACTCAAAGCTGATGGCACCCCGACTGCAGACACGTATATGTGCTTCATCACGCCATTCCCTTATGAACATGACTGATCTTCCAAACAAGACAATGATTCCAAGCATATAGAAAATGTAGTGAAACAGTATATTGATGAAATAGTCACAACTACAGTTTGACCTTATCCTTAAGGCTGCATAAGGCTTATGTAAAAACTATGAAGGTCAAAAGATGTCCAAAAACTCAGCTAATTGTGGGGAGTAATACAGCTTGGAACAATATTACAGAATTATATATTTATAAACCACATTAGTGAATGAAAACAATGTATAATGTTCTCTGTAAATCATGGGACTCTTATACAAAATACTAGTGCATTGAGCAACCTATTTCTTCTTCTTTTGTATTTGCTGTGATAATGTTTTATAGCATTAATAAATTTGCCATCTAGCTGCCATTACTCATTGTTTCTGACTCTGCTACGTGTATATTTTACAATAAAATAAGTGAAATTTCTTTAATTTTTAAGAAATCTTTTATTATACATACATTCTTCCAATTTAATATAAGTTCATTAATATTAAAAAAGTGTAATGTTATCCAAAGAAATGCATATGGAAATCTCACATATCAGGAGAGTATACATGATAACAGAAATATGATTAGCCTCTAAATCTACAACATAATAATTAAGCAGCCTCCTACAAGAGCATTGTAAGAAAGTTCACCACCCCTAGTTACTATACAGACAAGTACAAAGGAGCTTACATGGGTTGCATCTTCTATATCTGCAATTCTTAGTTGCCTTTCTATAGCGAAACTATGCAAGAAGTTCCCACCGAACACTAGAGTATCTTCGGGTGTAAACACAGCATGAATCCAGCCTGTAATTACATAATATTTCACAATAAATAAGTCATTGTAGTACTTACAAAAACAAGTCAGAGAAATGACCATCAAAATGAATCAATGCTAACTGATATTTAGATACCAAAGAACCTTCGTACCATACCAGTTTTTTTTAGTGTGAAGAATTATAACTACATATATTTGAAATGTTTTATTAATAACTATACAAATATAACAAATACTTTGAGGATTAATAAAGGTCAACAAATTCTGTAATTTAATGCTAGTTATGAGGGTGGGAATTGACTGTCACTCTAATAACACATCCAGAATTCCAAAGTGTGGAGTGCAATTGTGAACAGTGGACTTTCAGATTCACAGTCTGGCACTCTAGCCACTAGGCCACGCCTGGCCTATGAGTATGCTACATTCACACTTTAAATCATGATGTTAATTGAAAAACACAACATTGTTATCAAACAAAAAAAAATCCTTTACACCAATAAAAATATATTTTTGATTTCAAATCTATTCACCCTTCCGTTTCAATGATTAAATCTTCATAATGTAGCTAATTGGATATAAATTGATCCATCAGTATCATCAAACAAGTACTGGTTACGTTTCCTCACTATTATAGAGATTTTTTTTTGCCTGTCATCTACAAGGCTTTGGAAGCTTATTAGAGTATACTTTCAATCATCAGATTCAGTTTTATTGTCTTTTCTGATGTTCTAGAATGTATTCTAACAAGTAACATGAACAACAAACAAATTACAAGTTCTAAATAAGTACTTACCTTTTTGTTCAGTTACTGTTATTAGTTAAGTATGAATATCAACCGAGAACACTCTGTGCATCTGAAAGTGAAGAATTTGTTTGTTTGTTTATTTGGAATTAAACACAAAGCTACACAATGGGCTACCTGTGCTCTGCCCACCACGGGTATCGAAAACCCGGTTTCTAGCGTCGTAAGTCCGCAGACATACCGATACTGCTTTGCCCCCCAGTGGCAAACTAAACTAAACCACAATAAATGAATGAGTATAATGTGTTACAATACCAGATATAATAGCCAAAAACTTCTGAAAAAAAGGGGGGGGGCATACAGCAGTTAGAACACATCTACTAAAATCAGGCTAACTTGCAATACAAATCAACCGAGCTTCACAATATGCTTGTAATCACTACCACATAAGTGTTAACCTCTGCACTCCCATCACAGTCAATAGTATGTGTTTTGTTTTGGAGCAACAACTAGAAGAAATGCTGCCCTTCAGGCAGCTGTTTGTGCTAGTATTTACTAATTGTATCATTCATACCTCATTGAAAAAAATTTAGAAAAAAAAATTAACATTTTCTTAAAAAAAGGATTTATTCCTGGGAAGCTCTGTGTGGGAAAAGTATTCAGGATTGTGCTCTTTAGTCATACGCAACTCACTGCAACAAAATGATTCAATGTACAGAGCTCAAAATTTTCGTAAACTTTACTGATATAAACTGTAATGTTTTAATATATTAAAAGTGGTACCGTTTATTGAAAAATAAGTTTTTTCTTTAAGAACTCCGGTTTCTCAGTACTGCATTTAAAATTTACATCAATAAAGAT